GGAGGCTGTGGTTCTTAAAACTGGCCATCATGTTTTCTGTGGGCCTCAGGTGTCCATGGCTGTCAGATCTCATGGCAGATGGTGCCGTCAGTGCCAGGACAAGGGTAGCCACGGCCCCCGGAGCTGGGCTTGTGGAGGTGAGTCTCTCTTTCAATATCCGTAATGGGGTCGGGGAGCCTGAGTACTCAGGCTTGGCTCTGCCCTCTGTGGCCTTTTGAGGTCCCTGCCACCATGCTGCCACTCTTCAATCACGAGACCCATGAAATTAGGGTATCTTGGCCAGGGGGAAGGGCTGGTGTCCATAATGGGCTGGCATCCAGTTGGCTACTCATTCAGGCATCATAGAATGGTTGGAGGGGCACAAAACACCTCCAGAGTGTTAATTTAAGACTCCAGTGTCCCAGATTTTTATGGAATGCTCGATCATGCAAACCACGTGTGGTTGTTTGGCAGTTTGTTCAGGGTTCAGAGAGAGCTGGGACCAGAATCTGGCTCTGCTGCTCACGGGCATGGATGTCTTCTCCAAGGCTCGGCCTCCTCGTCGTGACATGGCAAGGATGATAAAGCCATGCTTCCAGAGGTGTGACGGGTCAACTTCCAGCCTCCTGCGCTGAGACACGGTTCGGGGGCACCTTCTACCCTCTTCCCAAGAGTCCCCAGCCAGGCTGAGTCCTAGTGGGTCCTGCTCTGCACACAGCCCGAGTTACTGGAGTTTCCTTCTCCAGGTCTTTCTCCTTCCACTTATTTACTTGAACTTCATGAAGTCCCTTTCCAGATAACATGTCTGCACCTAAGTAAGGCTGCATCTCGGGCTCTTTCTAGATGGAAGCCAGACTGAGACAGGCCCGTGCCCGCGGTGCCCTACCCAGCGCCCCTTTGCGTCTGCACCTGCTGCTCTTAACTGTGCTGGCTCTAGAAAAGCAAAGGGCTTCTTACTTGGTTGCAAGTCAGGAAGGTGTCCGCTGCTGCGTAGAGCATCTCCCTGGGGCCCTGAGGGAGACCCAAGTCTACACAAAAGGCTGGCCCAGAGGAACAGAGGATGGCCACCTAGTTTCCCAGGGAAGACACAGCTGAGCGGGGAGCGGAAGGCTTTAGACTGATTGGTTGATGGGTTGATTTTGGCCTGGCCCTGGTCAAAAAGTACTGAGAACACTGTCCTTGTGCCCCCATCTCCACCCCAGACCTTCAAGGTCACCGATGAACGGAGCAAGCATCTTGTTCAACCACTCAGCCTGCCTTTCAGGATCTACCTGCTCCCCCGGTTGCTGTTTCGACCGGTAGCCTGCCTTTCTCAGAACTGGATACCTCCCTGCGTCAGGGCCCTTGGCCTGCTAACAGCCACACGGAGCATGCGTTTCCGACCACACCTGCGTAGTCGTGCCGGTCCGCACTCGAGAGGGTTCTCTGCAGACGTTCCTGTGTCTCGGTGCTTTAAGAAAGCCGTGATCGCTGGCTGGCCTGTGAGACTCCGCATTCCCGGGCAGTGCCCCTCGGGCGAGGCCTTTCCTCTCCAGCGGGTTCCTTAGCTAAGCAGGAGAGGAGCCTAGGGCCCTGGGCCGACTCCCTCACGGGGGAGAGAGAGAGAGAGAGAGAGAGAGAGAGCAGATGCTGTGGGGCTGGAATTTCCTGGGGAAAATGCAAATATGCAGCAAAGAATTTTTTCAGTTTCTGGGTTGGGGGGGGTTGCTACTGTAAGCTCCTTGTACAGAGAGGGGAAAAAATAGTTTCCTGTCAACCCAGAAGCATGATGTTTATCACCATCGCCCAGAATAGAACATGTGACCCGCGTCGGCACCTCGCTTGCTACTTTTAAGGAATTCGTTTTTGTCACGTGGCCCAGATGGAGTTGTTGATTCCTTTTTCTGCACACTTCTTGCACTGCACGCTCGTCTTTCATCCCTGCCGACCGTGAGCTGCCTTTCTTGCGGCAAGAGAGAGGACAGGCCTGGGCAGGGCCTCTCCCTGGAGTCCGCTCTCCCACCTCCTGGCTCTGTGGCCGACCCCTGGGTGGGTCTCTTCCCCCCTCTGTACCCCAGTGTCCCTGTCTGTAAAGTCAGGTTCATTGCAAGCTTCCTGCCCTCAGTGGGAACTTGCCGAGGTCCAGTGTCGTCATCCCTGTGAAGGTGCCGCCTTGAAGACTGTGAATCAGGCTCCGCGGGTGAGCCATGATTCTTCAGCGGCTGGGATGGCGCTTTGTGCCCCACGGGGGCTCGATGACGAATCCGGGACGGAAGGCCAGCCGCTGTCTTCTGTTGGGTGGTTGCTGCAGGCCCAACACGGCCTGAGGCGCTTGGCATGTATTGTTTGTTTCTTCCCCATAGCTTCCACGGGAGCAGGTGCTTGTCTTGTTGATGAGGGAACGGCTCCTCGAGAGGTGACGTGGGTCACGTGAGGACACACCCGTGGTCCGGGCTGTGGCTGGGACCAGATCCAGAGGCCCGTGATGAACTGGAAGGGTGCCCCCTGGAGGAGGTGGAAGGGCCCCGCCTGTGGTCTCTGCTTCTTTGCCTCCCCCTCGCGGGATTCTGTTCCCCACTGCCGGTCCCCTGGGGAGTCAGACTCTCAGAGCTTTAACATCTGCCCTGCATCTGCATCTGGGGCTTTGTCGGCTGCCCAGAGCTGCGTGGGAGCGTGTGCATCACGGGTGTGGATCCGGCACACGGGGCGGTGGGGGGGCGGTGAGGCTGAGGGTGTCACTGGGCCATGCTCTTTGACTCTTCTCCTGTGTTGTGAGGGAGGCCCCAGAGAGGTTGCCCTGGGAGACAGAAGGCTTGCAACCAATGGCCGACTTCTGGGGAGGGTTGGGATGGAACATTCTTTTCCAGAACTTTGGCTTTTTCCTCACATACTTTGTAAAACTTTATTCCCCCTTAACATCTTATCTTTCTGCCAAATCAGACTCCACATTCTTCAAAGTGATGGCACCAGTTTTTCTGAGCAATCAAGGTCTTTACAGACCCCTAGTCAGGCCCTTCCAGAAGGGGCCGTCTTTGGAGGTCACCGGCCATGACATTCCGACCCACAGAAGTGGGACCGATGCTGAGGTGACACCGGGCTGATGTCAGGTGCTCCTGATGTCAGCTCTCTTCCTCTGGCCTTTCTGAACATTCTGGTGTTTTGACTTTCTGGACCTGAGGGGGACACTGACCTGAAAACTGAATGATACTCCCAGCAGGCATCGCCCCAGAAGATGATGGAGAGAGCATTACTCTTGGCTGGACCCCACGTGGCCTTTGAATTTTTTGAAGATTAAAGGTTTTCTTGATAAGTATCTTTTTTTGGTGGTGGGGGGGGGAAGACCGTAGAACAGACTGAAATGATTCATTAATTGGCACACAGTCCACTAAGTGTTTTTGGTATTTCGACTTGCTTTGTAAAGTCCAAGCTAAGTGTTCCTCTCCTAACCCTTCCTCTTATTTTTGTCTGTTTGTCATTCAGTGACTCATTAGTACGTTCATTCACTCATTCATCACAGCTCATTCTGCACCAGCCTCCAGAGACAGAGCAGTAAGCAAAACGAGACACAGTCCCTGCCCTCACGAACACACCAGCCTGTGTTACGTGCATGTGATGAGTCTGCACAGCACAGGTGTGTGCACCTGCAGTAGGGGCCCTTTTCCTGCAGGTGCACACCCCTATCCCAGCCGCTGGGGTCTTGACTGTGATGGCTCATAGCTGATCCTTTCTCTGGAGCATTGCCCCCGGAAGCCTGGTTCTCATGCCCCAGTCGGTCCATCTGTGGCCAGAGGCTAACCAGCAGTAGAAAAGGTGGCTTCTGGTCTCAAGGTGGGGACAATGCTGTGTGTAGTTCCCACTGCAGAGCTCCCCATGGGCTCAGGCTGAGTCAGCCTCTGGCTGAGAGGGGGGACAGCCTTACTTAGCTCCTTCCTCTGCCCCATCCTGCTCCCTCCCCTTTCCCTTTAGAGCCCTCCCCCAATATATCCTGTCCATCTGAACCTCTACATCAAGCTCTGCTTAAAGGCAGCTCGACCTAAGACAGGTGCTATCAGAGCCCACAAAAGGAGGCATTGATTTAGGTGGGGAGTTCAGGAGAGCCAAAAGAGGAGATGCCAGAGCTGAGATTTGCAAAATTAGCAGGAGTCAATTAGACAGAGATGAATGGAAGGGTGCTCCAGGAGGAGGGAACAGCACATGAGCTGCAGGCTGCAAAGAGGCTGGTGTTTTCAGGAGTAGAGAGAGGGAGCTCAGTGTGAGAGGAAGCTGAAGGGACCAGGGGCATGAGCAGGTAGCCTTCCTAGAACCTGGTAAGGATCTCTCCAATTGGGGGGAGCATCGCCCCCCACCCCCACCCCCAGGTACCCAGCCGGGGCCTTTGGAGAGAATTGGAAGGAGGAGCCCAGCATGGTGGGAAACGCTAGCTCTGGGGTCAGAAGTCTGTGGAGTTCCAGCTCCGTTTTATCAATTAGGTGTGGTGTCACTCTCTGGGCCCCAGAGCAGGTCAAAGTACTACCACAAGGTACTTTTGCAGTCTTAGAATAGTGGTGACCGACAAGTATACGTTGTCTTTGTTAAGAGTATTTCTTTCTTTCTTTTTTAAAATTTATTCTAATTTTACTTAATTTCAATTAATTAACATCACGTATTATTAGTTTCAGAGGAGAGTTCAGTAATTCATCAGTTGCATATAACACCCAGTGCTCATTGCGTCACGTGCCGTCCTTAAGGCCCATCACCCAGTTACCTCATCCCCCCCACCCACCTCCCCTTTCTCGACCTCCTGTCTGTTTCCTAGGGTGAAGAGTCTCTTAGGTTTGTCTCCCTCTCTGAAGGAATGTTTATGGCCCTGGGTGTTCACAGTCACAAGCTGCATCTCCTATAACCTCCAGCAAGCACCTCAGAGTCCAAGGTGCCATCAACCGGACACAGGGGATGCAGAGGGGGCAGACATTGCTTTGCAGAAGATGGTTGAGCTCTCACCGTCCTGGGAGAGCTCTGGCATATGTGGAACTAGAGGCATTTCTCTCTATCCTTCTTTTTAGGTAAAAATAGCAACAGAAAAGGCGTGAGAACCAAGAGCTCTGAGAAGGCTGCCAATGATGATCACAGCGTTCCCGTGGCCCGTGGCGATGTCAGCAAGGGTGAGTGAGGCTCTGCAGAGAACCTCCTGCTGGTTCCCTCACCGGCCCAAGGAGGGTGGAGGCCCCTGGAGCAGATACGAGCTGCAGATCCCCTGGGGCTGCCTGGGGCGGCCGCCGGCCTCTCTGGCCTCTCTCCTTTGCCTTTATCCTTTGGGGGTGCAAACTTTCCGAGCTGCCCTCTCCCCCACAGCGCACAGTAATCCACAGCGACCTTTTCCCCATTGGCTCAACTGAAGTCATTTCTGAGTCTCCCCGAGCCCTGGGTTGCCTTCCCGGCCCCTTCCGCTTCCCCGCCTCCAACCCCACAACAATCTCATTTCCTTTCTCGTGGGGCCTCACAGCTGCTCATGTACATTGCGTGTGCATTTCTTATCTCCCAACCAGGCGCTGGGGCCTCTGGAGTCAGAGAGCAAGTCTTCTATTTACAAGCCCCGTGAGGCTAGTCTTGGGGTCTTACTCCCCTGTAAAAACATTAGTCTTTTAATTACTTACCTTAGGATGGTGGAAGCCATTACTTCTAGACTCCTGGGCCAAATCTGGCCCATTTGCAGTAGCTCTTACTATGTGATTGGCTACCAGCATTACAATTATTGTGTCTCTGTTATAAGCTCATACTTCGGCTAATGCTAATAGTTTCCCAAATGCTTCAGCTCTCCATAGCTTAAGGCCGGGGCCTGGGCCTCCCGTTTGGTATCTCCCCATGCTTCTCTGTGGTGTCATCGTCACCATTATCCATATTTTATAGATAAGGAAGACCAGACTTGGTAGTACGTGCCGTTTGCCTGTGGCTCTGCAGCCTCTAAGTGGCAAAACAGGGATTTGAACCCAGATTTTCTGGCTCTAGGCTTTCTGCTCAGCAGTACAATGGCTTAAATAAACACAGCATTTCACAAATTTGCCTTTACAGAGGCGGGGTCCGTGGTCAGCTGCTATGTGAGCCTGTACACCATGTCACAGCGTCGATTGTTGGAAAGGGAATGGCATGTTCCCTTAGGCAGTGGTTGGGGGCTGTGTTTCTAACCAGAAACTCGCCACCAAAGCCATCATAGATGTGAGTAACAGTGTATCCTTAAATAAAAACAGAAATTCAGCAACAGGGACCTTCTGCAATCACTTCACAAATGAGCATTCTGTTCCATCTTAACGCGGCAGTTCTGTAGGGTACCCACGGCCATCGGGAGGACCCAGCGTTTTGGGTGGGGAAGGGGGGTTGTTGAGGACACGTGTGATGCGGGGCTGTGCCTCTGCTCATTCACCCTGGTGAACCCTGGTGACCTTTGGGGTCTCAGCGAGATGGGTGGTAGTAAGACTCCCACCTGGGGTTGGCCTTGGGCATGACTTCCGTTCCCTTGTCCCAGCAGGCGGATCTGAACACCAGCTGTTCCTTCAGGATCTCAGATGCCCCAGGGCAAGGCGGCTCCCAGTGCTGGCCTCTACTCTCTGGGCTCTTGCTCCCATCCTACTTGGGCCTCAGAGTCCCTTAACTATCTTGTTAATTTTTAAGTGCTTTAAACATTTAAAAAATAATTTGTCTAGGTTTTTTTTTTTTTTTTTTTTTTTTTTAGCTTAAGCACAAGGGTTGGTTCGAATTATTTTAGTTATGCATTACCAGATTTGGAAGTTATTAAGATCTGGGAAGGCATTTTCAAAAAGAGTTTTCAGGGCCTATTTCTTTACACACACACACGCACGCACGCACACACACGCCCACGCACGCCCACACAGAGTCGCCCCCCTGGCCTTGGCGTCAGAGCTCTGTCTGATGGGCTGGGGTCCCTGGTCTCTAGAGCAGTCGCTGTGGCTCTGATGCACTGAGTGTATGACAAGTGACTCTGGTTTATGAAACTTCTTTACCTTGCTCTTCTGTTAAAACAAGATTGAGGAACTGGGCATGACGCGGGAGGGAGAGACGCTGTGGGGGGCTGTGATATGCAGTATGGAAGGGAGAGAAGACTGTGGCCATGGAGGCAGGGAACACAGCAGTTAGGAATGCTGCCTGGGGTCAGACGGGCGCCTGGGGGACGGTGTGGGGTGGAATGGGCCTCAGAGAGCTAGCCGGGCACTCTCAGGACCCTGTGCTCAGCCTTTTGTGTCTCTGCTCAGGTGTCCCTTGGGGGGCCTTGCTGGAGAGGTGGCAGAATGAAGGGGTCAGGTGGTGGGTTAAACAGATGCCACCTACGTCATTGCAAGGTAGCAGGTGGAACGGACCTCACCTGTATTGTGTGCAAGGTGGCAGATGGAGATGTGACCCGCTTCATTTTCAAGGTGGTGGGTGGTACAGATATTACCCGCCCCCTCCCCCCCCCCGTTTTGTGAGCAGATGACATCGTGAGTTTGCCTCAGATGCGACTCTCGGAGAGAACACGTACACGGGCTGAGGAGCAGCGTCCGCTCGGGCAGGTGTCCAAAATGCATCTTGGATATTGTCCTAAAATAATTGGCACAGCTGGTTGAATTATTGCTCTAGTTCTTCACTTCCCCTTGCATCCAGCCCTTTGCCGTGTGACTTTTCAGTTCCTTCTTAAAAGGTGGGAGTGCCCCTTGACTTTGGGCCGGCCCATGCCTCGCTGCGTCTGGTGGAGTAAGGTGGAGGGCCAAGGTGCCCATTCTGAGCTGAGGGCTTGAGAGAATTTGCTTGTCTCCATTGGCTTCTCATTTCTGGCCCCTTCCTCCTTTTCCCCACAGGCAGATGGGCTTTTCTCACACCATGTCCTGTGCTGAAACACATGGCTCACGTGTTTTCTCCAGAGGGAACTGGACAGGCATCTCGGTGATTGAGAGGACAGCTTTGGCTCAGGCTCTACTCTCACTGTCTGTGCAGCTCCGGACAAGTTCCTCAGTTATCCGTGACTCAGTTTCCTCCTCTGCAAGAGTGGGGAAGAGATCCCTTTAGAGGGTTATTTTGAAGATTCAATAGTGTCCGAAGGGTACAGCACACACAGTCCACAGCAAGCTCTCAGCGAACACTAGCGATGGCTTTTACTTGCCATCTGGGTTTTTTTGTGCCTCAGTTAGAGGGCTTGGCAGGCATTTTTAAAGGATCAGATCATAAATATATGGTTTGTTGGTCAAGAAGCAAAATTGAGGTTATTATGTCATTACTTAAATAACCATTTAAAATGTAACCATTAAAAAAGTACAACACTAGTCTTACCTCTTGGGCCATACAGACACAGGTGGTGGCCTGGGTCTGGCCGTCCCAGGGACTGAGGCTTGTCAACCCCTGCCGCAGAACTTCACTTTTCTGCAAATGCTGCCTCTGGGAAGACTGCCCTGATCACCTCTCTTTCATTTTCCTACACCTCCTCCTCAGGGTCCCAGTCCGTTCCTGTCTCACATCCTGGTGATTCCTATGGGCAGCTCTTCTCCTCTGGGAGGATATGAGTATTCAGGAGCTTGGTCTCCCCTGATTGTTCTCAGGATGCACCCAGCCTTGGAGCAGCACTCAATAAGAATGGCAAACTTGTTTACTGAGCACCTGCCCTGTGCTGCAACTAGTGTTCTGGGCTCTAGAGCAGGTATTTCATGTATGTTCAAGTGGCTTCCTTATGACCCAGAACAGCAGGGCTCGCCTCCACAGGAAATGCTCTTGGATCTGTAGGAAAGGAACATGATTTCCCACCATCATGGAAGTAGAATTTTTTTCCCAAAGTGATGCATGTTGGTGAACCGGAGCTCCCTTGGGCCTGGGCTGGGTGAGATTTGAGGCCTCAGCCAGGTATCGTGCTTGGGGATTGACCCACTTTGTGTGTGTGTGTGTGTGTGTGTGTGTGTGTGTGTGTGTGTGTGACACTGGAGAGTTTTTCACTATAGCAGAGACAGTTTGGGTTTTCATCCAAGCCCTTGTTGTGAGCCTTTCCCCGGTGTTGCATGGCTGGGTGCCTCTCGGGGGCTCAGCTCTGGTCTTCCCCAGACATCTGGCACAGCGGCTGAGGGCATGGGAGTGAGTCCTGGCTGACCTGGCAGACGCTATGATACACGGTCACATCTCCTCCAGGGGTATTTCAGACCCTTTGGAAGTGAGAGGGGAGGCGAGGGGCCAGAATTGGGACAGGGTCACATCCCTCGTGGACCCACCTTGCTTGAGAAGCCTGATGAATGTGGGCAGGTGGGACACCATGGGCTCCTCCATACCTGTCTGGCTCCCCCACTTTCCACTGTATCTCAAACATGCCTAGAAAGTTATTCTTCAGTCTCTGACATGAAACGTGTCTTGTGAGGATTTTCTGGCCTGCCTTTGCAGTGGGGAGAGATTTATTTTGTTCTTCCAGTGGTTTTGTGGCAGGGCCTTCACTGGGTTCGATGAGGGGTCCCGGGCTCACTGCTGCCCGCGAGTGTAAGCCGAGTTCTGTTAATGCCATGTGGGCAGCGTGGCGAGCCTGGGCACAGGCTGTAGGAGCTTTGGTTTGGAACCTGGGCCATGGTGGAGGTGCCGGCATAGAGATATGTCCCAGACAAGGGGTCTGGAGCCAGAGTTCTGATGTGTTTGGGAGCGCCCACGGGCTCCGCTCATGTCTGTCACCCAGCTGACCCCTCGCTTCTGCCTCCCCTGGTTCTGGTTGACCAAGGTCACATGAGTCCTCTTACAGAGTAGAAATATGCTTCTTGTTGCTCTTGGGACTTTGTTCCTGTGACAGTCTGCCTGTCTTCTTTCCATCTGCTCAGCCCCTCTGTGATGAGATCTTCTTCTTGACTGCCATATTGCTGACTCAGGATGGAGTTAGCAGAAAACCAAATTTGCCATGTCATACCCTAAAACTTAAAAAAAAAAAAATTAGAAACTTAACTCAGAGTGGAAGCTGTTCTAAAATAGATTTCTTTCCTGGCTTACGAAACATTTTGACTATGAAAGTAATGGATGCACCTTGTAGGAAAAGTGGAGAATGTATAAAAACAAAGAAGGGATGGGGCGCCAGGGTGGCTCAGTTGGTGACGTGTCTGCCTTCAGCTCAGGTCATGATCCCGGGGTCCTGGGATGGAGTCTGCTTCTCCCTCTCCCT